ACACATATATATATATATATACGCACGCACGCACAAGGGCTACTTCGACCTGCGATTGACAGAGACCGACAGACTAAAGCGAGAAAATAGAAACGACGTGGAAAAAGTGAGCTCTACGTAAGTACGCCAGAGAGCGGGTCTGGGATACAGCAAACCAATGGATGATCCGTAATGGTAGGGTCCTGCCCCTGTGTGCCAGACACCACGGAATTGCAAACCAAATGAAATGAAGACAAAGTATACCCCAACTGCTTGCACCGGAGCCCAGGGCAGGGCGGATGCGGGCAGATACATTTCCTCGCTTCAGAGGGCAGAGCTCCCCCACTCCCTCCACCCCTCTTGCCTGCGAGACATGCGGGACCGGAGAAACTACCCAAGGCTATGTGCCAATGTTTACAAGCACAGAGCGCACACACACACACACGTGCACAAACAGTCACACCCACGCACTTGCGCAACCCTCCCTCTGACTTGACTTGTATCTTTTTCTTTAATGTACGTACAGAGGTGAAGACGCTAAGCCACTTCGGCGGAAAACACTTGCAATCACGGAAAACGGCTGACATTAAAAGCGGCTGTCACTTTGTAGACTGCAGGGAGATAGAGAAGGCGTCCCTTCCGCATACCATCTTACGCCGCTATGCGCTGAGAGCGTCTTCGTTGGCTGGAGACTCTCGATGCATGCTCTTGCCCCCTGCACGCTGGAAACTGAGAATACATTCGGTGATCTGCTATCCCTTGGCAACAAGGTTTCCCACACTCATGCAGACCAGTCATGCTTACTTAGATGCATGCTTTCTGTGCTAGATCATTACGCTGGCTTTGAAGTCAGTCTTTTGGCCAAAGACAAGCAGCAGCATGTTGATGGTATTTCGGGATGGCCATCGCAGGTACACAATCCGGTGTGCCAGATTGCTTCGCAGCACTTGCATCACCGTCTTCGTTGGGAGTTGTTGTTGATGATAGACTCACTGCCCCGCTGCTTTATTGTGCATCATCAAAATCAAACGTGGTCTACATACTTCCTTCGGAACACGATGTGCGCGCACGCGCACACAAACACACACCCGCAAAGGGCTGTAGCAATTCCGGGCGAACTTGACTGACCCAACCGGCAGCCACGAAAGGAACGAGTGGAGCAGACCAAGCCATCGCTGCTTGCCTTGTCAGCAAAACTGAGACCGCATTGCGCAGGCGCACGTGATCCCGATGAAGCCTACTGTGGGCACGTGTAATCAGTAATTAGTCCTACTGCCATGATCCCGATGGATGATACTTGGTGTTCTGCCAAGCCAGTCCAACTCCCCTCCGTTGTCGCGGATTATGGCACATGGCCTTGCGATGGCCCCATTTCTGGTTTATCCAGAACGTGTCACGCAGCAAGGATGACTGCGACTTGCGCTTGACAGAGCCGACGAAGGAGAGGAAGAGATAAGGTTCTCGTTCCGGCTTCGGGTTGGTTCCGGCTTGGGGGTCCCAGTTCCGGACTTGGGCATTCCATTTTGGGTTGGGGGGGTTCCAGGTGACTTGACTATAAGGGAGGCACGCGAAGTCCGTGCCTCAGTGTACCGGACACAAAGGAAGGGGCAACTGTCGGGCACATTTTTTCTGGAGTGAGCGCGATTCGTTTTGGCGCAGGCCGCCCGCGCCCAGTGAGAAAGTCAGGACCGGAGAAGAAGCTATGTGCAAGCATTTGCCCACGCACACAGGGACACGAAAAAAATAACACATACAGACACACACACACACACGCAAAACAAACAAGCTGTTGATGTTTTTGAGTGGCAGGAACTGTCCGTGCGCAGACTATGACCTATGATTCTTTGCTGCACCAAAAATCACCATCGAAGAATTTCAGCATCTTCTACATTGCGAAATAATTCAGCATCTTAAAACTTAAAACTCAACAGCGCAAACCTCTTGCTGCCCGAAGATGGGAAGCACTCTCGGATACGGGTGCCCGGAACGCAAACCGAAAGAAAAAGCATAGTTGGGCGTCCAGAGGAATGAAGAGATGAATGATGAGGAATGGTACGACACATAGGCCGCAGCAGCAGGAGCAGCGGCAGCAGCTGGAATCGTTGCACCCTAAACATCTCGCCCAAAGGCCGATTCGACAGGAGTGTATTGGAATATTCAGCACCCCGCCCCCTCCACGGCAAGCGCAGTCCCCCTGCAGTCCCTGCGGTCCCGCGTTCCTGTTGTGAAGGGGACAGCT